AGCACTGCATAATATGAAGTGGATTGTTGTAACATAAAAATATACACTGACCATGCCCAAGTATAATTAATATATGTAGGTAATTTAGACAACTTACTCTCATCAAGCCACTGCCTTGGTTCAATTTCACCATGTACACACTTGTTAAAAAGAGGGTCCTCAAAATCTTCATGCTTATCCAGAATATGCTCAAGGAAGGAAAGGAATTTTGCCAAAATCACCTTGCCATCTCCAGACTTTGTTGATGTGGCACTCCATGTTAAATGATTTTTGCATCCTCGAATCCATGGGTTTATCTCCTCACAGTCACTTTCCTTACCAATCTTCATTAACACTTTTCTAATTTCTGAAATGGTAATAATAATAGTAATAATAGATATAAATGGCTACAAATCTGATTCCTGAATAAACATTTCAAAAAATTCACAAACATTCTTTTTCTCAAATGCCAAAGATCAAAGTAGTGTGTCACTTTCTTCAACTGCTCTCTCATATACTTTGCAATTGAAGAATGGCGATCTGTTATGAGGCAATCCAAAGTGACTCCCTGTTTGCGCAGGTAGTCCATACATTGCTGGAAGGCCAAAAACTCTATGCCCTGACTACTTCCAGCTTCATTTCTCTATTTAAAATTAGTAAAAAATATTTGAGGGTTACACACTAACAAATGCAGGCATATGATGATTCTTCATCATATATATAACATATCTAAAACATATAAGTAGTACTTGCTATAATGTACCTGAACAAGGGAGAAGTGGATTATATTTGGTGTTGTGCAATTAAATAGTGTGTAGGCACAGTACTTAGCACTGTGCCCCATGCTATCATGCCTGCCATCTCCAGCTATAACAGCTGGTTTCTTGGTTGCCTCAATCGTATGCTTTTGACATTTCTTCCAATACAGTGAAACTGCAGGGAACAACATCTCCTATACATAAACATATTGCATATCATTATATCATAATACATTTTGGCATACTGTTTTTTTATTACATATCACTAGCACATCAATAAATAATAGATAACTTACTGTTTGATGCCTAGAAAATTGCCTCAAAGAATGGCACAGCAAACCCATGTGGGAAAACACCCTAAACACTTTGCTAGCAGAAGCACCAGCCAACAATATTGCAAAGCTCAGAAGAAGGTTCCCTGCTACTGCCTTGGTGCCTTCTATTTTTAGTTGGCTGTGCCACACATACTCCTCTAGGCAATCTGAATTAGGACAATGCACTTTAATAATGACCATTGTCCCATGTTGAGTTGATTCCACATTGACATTGTCACCTTTACAGCTTCTACAAATTTGAAAAAGCAGCAGCAACTGGGATAGGAACACAATATATTTTGGTTCTGTCCTTATGTTATCTTCATTGAGGTTTGGTCTAGATACAAAAAACAACACAAAATTATATATAAATACTAAAAAAAGTTGCATGACCACTTATTAATTTGGTAGTAAACTTCAATTAGCATTGACTTGGAACAAAAAATTTATCAAACCTATTTGTATCAGAGCTAGATGTTTTTCTGTTTCTGTTTCACTCTGGTCATTTACCTCACAGTAATCATCTGATCTAATTACATCATCAGGCATAACCATTGATGAGGCAATATCATCTGAACTTATCAGGTCCAAATAACAGCATTGTCTTCACCTCACCAACAATCGGACCACTTTCAGTTCCAAGTTCTTAAGAGACACAAAGTACCACACAAATAAATCAGTACCTGTAAGTTAACACTGAGATTTTTGATGGTATGATTGATTTGATGGTACAATTCTATAGATCTAAGAATAATAATTTCGGTTATATTGACACCATTTACATACTTGTCGGTTCTAATTCTTTTTGGGTAGCCCTTTCTTCCTCCAAATTCCTTTCGCAGTCAATCAATCGATTCCGAAGAAGTTGGTTCTCCTTTTGTAATTGGATACACTGCTCACATTCATGGGTCATGTCCAATGTTTGGGTGAACTTTTCATTTTCAGTTGTTTGTAGTTTCTATTAAGATATTAAATAGGCGGTTTACACCCATAGAATCACTGATAACAACTAAACAAGTTGATAAAAAATTAAAAAACAACTTTTAGTACCACGCAAGTTTCATCCGCTGCAATTCCGGTTTCTACGCCAGTGTCCCAATCTGTTGAAACAGATGGTTGTGATTCCTCACTATGGGATGCGCTTTCTCTCATAACCTAAAAGGGTATTTAGAACGTTCAACTCTAATGAATCACTGACATAATTTTTCGATAAATAAATCTAAAACATGAGTAAATTAGCAAATGTAACATCTCACCTTGCGTCGAATCGTCCTTGCAGATCTCGCAGATAAGTCTGTGTGTTTTTCGACTGCAATTTGTACTGTTGGAAACTGGGTGTAACCCCAATTTCGTTTCTGTTGAGTCGAGGGAATGTGCATTCTTCTAAACCAGGCAAGTTCAGATTCCGCATAAAGTCATCATCCTGAAAATGTTTGGAGCAAACATGGCTTTGACCTGATGGCTCCCATCCAGCGCGCTTGAGTTTGACAAAGTCTACCCACTTTTTTCGTTGCCTTACTGCCTCTGGGCACAAATCTCCATTACACGGTATCGGATGTATGGCTATTTGATTTTCAGCATCTGGTATGTTTGAACAACCGTATACGACACATCTAGCGGGCATTTTGCAGCGCAAAGTATACAAATTTTTTACGCATATGACATATAATTATTGTAATGTGACACTAGTCGATTTTCTTGTCTGCCCTGTATGACGTCAAAACCCTAGTTAGTTCTCAGCCTCTTTTTTCCCGGCCAACTTTTGAAAAAACCCAATATGCCATGGCATGTTTGATCCAAAATATATTTTAGAAGTATTTATCCAACCATCGAATGATACATATCATTCAAATCGCCTGATTTTTGCAAATTTTTGGTGAAAAAATGGTGTTCATGTCATATGCACTTTAACATAATGAGCTCCTTGTTCTCTTTTGTTAGGTAAGATAAGTGCTTTTTTAATGCAAGATTATAATAATCTCTGTAATAGCGTATCATCTCTCATGATGATGCATGATGCACGACTGTCAGTATACCACAATGCATTGCGTATTATGGAATAATATATTTCGCGGCATGAATTTTCAATGGCTGTTCTCCTATGAATTTCCCAATGGCAGTTCTCAGCAATGAGCAATTTTTTTGTCCAACAGCAGTTCTCGGCCATGTATAAATTGTTTTTCAATGGCAGTTCTCGGACATTGAAGTTATTTTGTTTTGTTTTTTTCTTTAAAAAAAATTTTAATGTGTTTGATTTGGTAACAGCAGTTTTCAGCCACCATAGATCAGCTCAAATCATTGCAGGGTTGCAATAACACCAAGGACTTAAGGGTTTAAAAACTTTTTATTAGAGTGATGAACCAATGGAAAAGAAGAAATTATTTGGATCTGCATTCAAGAGATTTGGTTTAAAGTCACCCATCATAATGCAGTATTTCCTTTCTGTACTAATTTTATCCATTACTATATTCAGGTAAGTCATAAATGCTTAAAATTACTATGTGGGTGCCTATAAATGACCAGACAGATGAAATCATCTTTAGAATCACTCTGTATTTCAATCCACAAACATTCATAATAAAGAATAAATTTAGACAAACCATCTCTTACTGTAAAATTTAATTTGTCAGAAACAAAGAAACCTGCACCACTAACATTTATTTGATAAGCTAGGTTGGGAAACAAATCAACAGCTTGGAATATTACGGTTAATTAGTACTTTCTCAGAAACTTTATATTCAGTTTCAGTTAGATAAAACGTGCAAGATATTCAGATATTCCAAGCCCAAGATCACAGTGGATTTCTCCTTAAGGTGCTTTCGGGCTTGATAGAGCTTGTCCTTCATATTCCCTTTGAAAAACTTAACAATAATTACTGCGGATATTTCAATCTAGTTGAAACTTTAAGGTGGTGGCTGATGAAAATGTCTTCTGGTTTGATAGTGACATTACCTAGATTACCGATCGAGATTATGAGTTCATCTGTATTTTGATCTTTGTGGACAGGAATGCCATGAATATCCAGACAATCACAGTGGCCATATTTTTCTAAATCATCGACCTTATCCCACATTTGCTGACAAATTTTGCAAGTCTGAAACTTCATTTCTCAGCAATTCATTCTCCTTCTGTAATTCGTAATTTATCGCTTCCATATTTTGATGTTTCACCAGCAATTAATTGTACTGAGAACTTATGAACTCTACTGATTTGACAAGTCCCTCTATCTTTTCTCCAAGCGGTTTTAGTTTCTTGTCAAGAACAGTCTTCTGTTAAGGACATTGTTATGAAACTTTTATTAAAGCTTACTATATTAGCAGAGTAAACTTTGATGATATGTACCGATATGCAGCAAGGAGCTCAATATTGTACGTCTGCACTCGCTCACAAAGTTTCAAATCACAAATCACCTAATTGTAATTTTAGTTAGTCTGATTGATGAATAGGGGGTCTCAAGGTTTCCGACGCCATTGGCCAGGGGGTGCAAAAACATTGGGGCGGGCGCGCGGCCAGAGCGATTTCCCATACAAATCTATAATGAGTGAGCGAAATTTACATTTGCGCATTTCGCTCGATTTTTGCAAAACAATTAAAAAGTTAGCCAATTTAATAATTGCTGATCGATTATTGGGGTTTTTTTGATATGTGGCTGGAACTTCATGTGAATCAGAGACCGGCAAGTGTTAAAATATCGCGATTTTGTCGAGGTGTTTTTGCGCGCTGTTTACGCCATTGGATCTTCATAGACAACCTCCCTTTACTTGATTTTTGTCGTGGTAAGCGCTAAAATGAAGAAATTTTCAGCACAACAAGAAAACAGGAAAACACATATGGAGATAATGTGTAACTTGATAACCTGTGCCAGCTGTGCGGTTGACAATATCTGTTGTATTGCTTTTGAAATCTACTACGAATGGTGTCACATATCACTTGATAGCGTCTGCTCATCGTGTATTCACTGCATTTTTTGAAGTAACATTTGTATGGAAACCTTCTTGGAATCTCAACATAATATAAATTCATATTTTCAACCTTTTTTCGACGTGTTCGCAGCGTGCGCTTTTTTTAAAACTGTGTCTGTATGCCATAATGCCAAGTCACGCTCGTTGCGCTGTCGGCTATTGCGACAACGATAAACGTTATCCAGATTTATATGTGAAGCGATCTCATGTGGAAAATCTATGTTTTCACAAATGGCCAAAGGACGAGACCACTGCTGAACTTTGGCGTAAGCAGGTTTTAAAAAGCAGACAGGACGATTTTAATCCAAAACCAGGTGCGTCAGGAACGTTTGTTTGTTCAAACCACTTTCCCTTGGGCAAGCGAACCCCAAATAATCCAAAAACGGACTTTCCATCAGTATTCCTTAACCTTTCCGACTACAAAACTCAATCATCACCAAAGAAACGCAGAAGGATAAACATCAGTACGTCTGAGGAACCTGGTGAGGATACTGAGATGCAGCAACTTGAACAGCATTCAGGTCCTGAATCGTCAGACACTATTGATTCTGACTTTGAACCACCTTCACTTATGGTCCCACTGCGGTTTGAACAGCTCACCAGGGAGTGTGATGTCAAGTTTTATACGGGGATCCCTTCAACTGAAGCATTCCATTGCATATTTGAACATCTGTCTCCAAAAGCATTGCATATGCAATACTGGAGAGGTACGCAACAGACACAGAGGGAATCTAGACCAGTATCTCCATTTGAGGAATATGCTTCCTCAGTGGGTGTTGAAAGTAGACGTGGTCCACCAAGAAAGCTTAGATTGGAGGAAGAGTTTTTATTGACATTAAGGAAACTTAGACTTGCTCTGATGAACCTGGATTTGGCATTTAGGTTTAAAATTTCAGATGGTTCTGTCAGCAGTATATTTATCACTTGGATAAAGTTGATGTCAAAAGAGCTGGCAGTACTGATTATTTGGCCTACCCGTGCTCAAATAAAAGAAAATCTCCCAAAGTGTTTCAAAGCACTTTATCCAAAGGTGAGATGTATCATCGATTGCTTTGAGTGCTTTACCAACACACCTAGTGGGTTAGATTTAGCAGCAACTATGTGGAGTGAATATAAGCACCACTATACCTACAAGGTTTTAGTCGCTATCACTCCTAATGGTGCCATTTCGTATGTGTCCCCAGCATATGGTGGCAGAGCAACTGATGTTTTCATTGTTCGTGATTCTGGATTTCTCAACCTTGTTGAGCCTTTTGATGAGATTATGGCAGACAGAGGGTTTAAGATCAGGGAAGAACTAATGATGCATATGGCTACATTATGTATCCCACCTAGCAAAGCAAAGTCCATGCAGATGTTACCATCCGATGTTAGAAAAACATCTAATATTGCTAATGTCAGGATTTATGTGGAGCAGGCTATAGGTAGGATGAAAGTTTTTCATATTCTCAAAAATGAACTACCAATTTCAATGGTCCCACTTGCTGATGATATTGTTCGTGTTTGTGGTGCTTTATGCAACCTTCTGCCTCCATTGTGTGTGTGATACATTGACAAAATCATTTATGCTGTAATCTGCAGTAGATTTAATCATAACTACCTAAAATTAAATTGCCAAATTTTTTGGTTTGGAACACTTTTATTATAATAATCACATTAAAACAACTACCCAAAAAGTATTTAACAAATTTTAACATAATTATTTCAATAATATAAATATTTGATATTATTTACATCCATGTAGGGTAAGAATAAATATTGAAAGTTCAAAATGTCTAATTATTATTTGTTCTTGTCTCCAATTAAATTATACCAAAATACCAATACCATTTGTGCAATATCCAACCGACTCAAAGTTTCAACTTGAAGTTATTCACATGTGACACACTGTTTTCATAATTAGTTTAACCAACACATTTGCCATTGCAGTTGATGAACTTTAATGTCCTGTCATTCCAAAGACATTGATAATAAATTTTGAGGTATCTGTTCCATAAAAGCCAATGTCTGTATTCCATAAAAGCCAATGTCTGTATTCCATAAAAGCCAATGTTTATCATTGAGCATCACTTTGCTAACATCCAATGGCTAACATCCAATGACCTTTTTATACTAACGGTAACTAACAGAGCAGACTGTCAATGATTTCTGTTAAGGTATTTCCCATTCATATTTCAACTCCATTTGTTAAGTTTTTCATAACAAAGATCAGTGAATATCCTTGTCATCTGCATAAAAGAAATAATGACATTTCTTGCTGAACTTTATCTTAAGCTCCCTAACCAATTATCCATTGCATCATCATAGAAGAGAACTACCATGTTCTTCTGCAAGCATATATATATCCATATATATCCATATATATCCATATATATATATATATATATATAAAATAATATATATATATATATATATATATATATATACATATATATATATATATATATATATATATATATATATATATATATATATATATATATATATTAATATATTTTAATCTGTGGAAGATGGGATAGATCAGCTGACTTACCAAGCAGCCGGGAAACCAAAGGAGAATAAGTGTTTACCCTCTTACCTCGTTTTTTCATCAGTGATTCACTCTTTGTGGCCACTTGATGAAATTTTGATGCAGTAATCCTGCCTTTCCTTTGTTCAAACCATGCTTGGTTGCTGTTTTGACCTCTAGTTGAAATTTCAATCTTACTTACCTGATTCTTGGTTAACTGGCAGTCTTCAAGTTAACTGGCTGTATGATTCAAGAGAACATTTCGAGGGGTTGCCGTGTTGTTGTTGAGAATGACTCGCAGAAGGATTGGATGGGGCATTCATGTCTTGAAGAGCTTTTTGCAGAACCAACCAGATATTTTTCTTCGCTGGTAACTTTCCATTATATGCACCCTTGCGATATTGTTGCACTGTATGAACATGCTTTCGTAACAAGGCCTATTTTTTTATCCTGTATGTCATATATTCTGCTTTGTTTTCATTTAACAAATCTGCCTTGATTCTTTGTGTAAAAGACTGACTGACTGAAGCACACAGAGTTTTTTTATTTCTTAACTATTTATTTCTTAATTGTTGACAGATCAGATGGCATCTCAAAGTGGTTAGCTCATTTAACTTGCGATTTCTGTGTGAATACTTGACCGATTTTAATAAAAATGTATGGAAAACCCCCCGAAAAACTGACCCCTTGGTCCAATTTTATATGTCCTTAATTTGCTCTTTCTACGAGAAATGACTTCATAGGTGTACTCAACTGATCACACATGGCAAAATCATTAATACCTTTTGCTCTCTGTAGATGCTTCCGCTTGATTTCCACTTGATCACTCATGTTTTTTTCAAATTATTAATCTCTTTCAGTCTTTCTGCTGTCATAATTTTCTTTCTCTTTTCCTTTGGCTCTGATACTTTGTCATCTGAATCCGAACTGCTCACTTTAGATTTAGACCTTGAATAGCCTTTCTTGTAATGGTACATTTCACCAGCTAGCTCTCTTGCCTTAGTGAAAAGCTCCCCTACAACAAAAGTTATGTTTAAACAACCAATTAGATTTAATACACAAATGAAACACCACTTTAAAATGTGAATAATGTGCTCAATAATGTTTCATGAAATGCAGTACTGTACTTTAAACAAGATATCTCTTATTGCAAATCCTATTGTAACTCACATATTTTGCAAGGTCGTAATTATATTTCTATGTCATTCAGAGTTATTCCAATTGATGCATTCATATTAAGCACAATTTTCTATAAATATACCCTTCTTTTGGAGAATATACCTGTACAATATAATTGAATGTATACATGTTTCCACTTGTATACATTTCCAGTATTAGGGCTGTAAATTTTCTCTACCCGTGATGGTTCATTTTTTTATGATTTAAGTGTCTGGCAATCATGTTTTATAAAAACATGCTCATTCTTTAATTGGGGTGGATTGTAAGTACTAAATATAAGCACTTATAATTACTCAAATTCATGCAATCATATTTGATTTTGAAAGTTCATTAGTAGGTGGATGACACTGTACCTCTATGTGCAAGAATACTAGGGTCTTGAAGAGCTATTTTGCCTGCAGCATCAATTTCAGCTTGTTGATAGCTGGTTAAATGGAAGCATTCTTTACCAAATATTTTCACTTTATCCAAAATGTTCTTTTTAGTTGATGTTGATGCATTCAAAATTTATTCATGTGGAAAAATACAGACATAATTTATCTATACCACATTGCTAGCTTATAGTGACCAATGCCAAACTTTGCTTAAACAAGATTTTGTTTTTTGGAGTTTGTTTTTTCTTAAGTCATAAGCTAGTGGAAGTTCAAAATAAAAATCAAAAGCATCTGTAAAACCAACCAGACCATATTGAATACAACCTTAACTTTATGGCATTAAATACAAAGTTAAAATAACTTGGTAAGACTTCAAGGACCCATACATGGTTAACAAATATGATTAAAGCAAAATTGTAAACATCTAAGAACTGATTCCACCTGATTATTGCTTCATTGCTTGAACAAGTTGCACAATAGTAGATTCAGATAAAACAACAGTATAACTACATACTTTTAATTCAGGTCCAATGCTTATTTGACCTCCTTCAATAACTAGAGTTTTTTGTCTCCCAAGTGCTTCTTTTACATTTGCTGTCTCTACAAAACATCCAGATAATAAAAACAAAACATGTGCATGCAGTACGTACCTGCTTTTTTTGATAATTGATCTGATGTTTTTGCAACATTTTCCTAAATTATAAAATTATCAAACTTTGATTATTTTTATTCCTATCTATAACGCCTCAGTCCAAAATGCTATGGCCTATGTGTTGGCCCAGCCAACCCTCTAGGGGCATAACATTGATAGGTGCGTTATCGTTAAGAACTTATCAAACCCTATTTCTCCGATTCGTTTGCACATCCTCCCTAAAAATTACTCAGAAATATGAAAGAATGATAATATGTAAAATTCAGACATTTTAAAGACAACAGAGAACAAAAAAGCGACAGAATAGGGAATTTCTAAAGTATATGATTGCTATAGGTATGAGATAACAAAGCAACCTATTATTTTGACTCATGTTTTGACTTATAATACAAATGCAGCTTCTCACTAAATTTGAATATACTATTTAAATCGTCTTTTCAAGCTCTATTGTTTGGTGCTATTAGAGTTTGAATCTGTTTTTCCTTTCTATGTATACTATTTTCCAACTCTTTAGTGTTGAGTTCCTCAGCAAACAGCACTGGGCAGTATGTCTCAGGTGTAGATGGCATTTTCTGCAAAGATTACCTTGTGATGGATAACTTTTTACTTTTTCCAGACAATTAAAAATTGACTCACATTGTTTGTTAAGAATTTTCAAGCTTTCTTCCTGTGCCTTAATCTGGTTTTCAGTTTTTACAACGTATCTTATTAATTGTGTAATATTTTCTTCCTCATCATCATATCCTATGTAAATATTTTCGTCAGAATAATCCTCATAGTCGAGTGCAAAGTTTATATGATTGATTGGATCAATTCTTTTGCTTGCATAAAAACGGACAAAACTAAGTTGCTTTTTGCAATCAGCTGAAGACTATCGAGTATCACATAAAAATTTTCCATGCTTCGAAGATAGTGGCTTTGTATAAGGTTACAATTCTTTTCATCCAGATGAAAGCAATCCACCAAATCTTGGGTGTGTGCATCGGTGGATTTACTTTTTTGTTAGGCGTTGGTGTATGTAATTAAAGACATACAATGGTGCTTATACCTTGTTTTCAATAAAGGCTTGGACAACATTTTCCTCATATATTCACCTAACTATATTGAAAGGAAACATAAAAATAAATATTTCCAGCCTGCGTAATTTTGTATGCATAATTGGCGGTTTACTACAATTTAATGATGTGGCGTTTTCTAAATTCTTGATAATGACCATTTCTTTTTATTGCAATTAAGTATAGCTTTCAATTAAGTTATAGCATCTAACCAAGTCATCTTTCATACAACCAGTATCTAACCATTTCTTAGAGACAGACATTGGTAAAAGGTTATTGATACTGCAGTATTGAGCATGCCCTTTCACATCAGAAGAAAAACAAGGGTGCTGAGAATAAAAATCAGCATTAGGGAAGAGCTCTGTGTAGGTAAAAATCCTCTATAGCTCCATTAGGCTATTGTTACACACTTCTACAAAGGACACGGAGCTATACAAGCAGTTTCCAGTAGTGTCAGATCTAAAACATGAATAAAACTTGGTTTTATTACACCTAGGTATATCTTACTCAGTCACTTAGGTAAAGATAAATAAATATTCACCTGGTAATAGATAGACTTAATAGCAAAAACATCATGTCCCACTTTCATGAACCATTAAGTGTGAATAATTGGCAATATATTTATAGAATTATTATATAAAAAACACTAGTTCATCGTTTAAAATGTAATAAGGAAATATGGCCACTTCTATGCTTTACTGCTGTGTGTTTTGAGTAATTATTTTTGAAATTAAAACACAGTTCAGTGCTCTAAGCTTTGCCTTAATACACTGGGTT